ATCTTTAAAATATTGATTTCTTAATTTTGGGTTGGAAAAGTGGGGGTTGTCTTGTACATGGAGGCGTCTTATTGACGGAAAAATACGGTAGTTAGTTTGGCAAGATTCTGTCTATAAGGTGTAAGCAAATCAAGGAACTATACTCGACTGGACTGTTTTACCATTGTTCTTGGGCTGGGCCTGACACAGGGTCTTTGTAGCTTAAACTAGGACTCTCGTGGCCAAAGCCCCACTGGCTTGGTTGGGTGTTTTCCCTTTGCTTATGGTAATATATTTCTCCTCTTAGGAACTCATCACTGCCTGGTACATTGGGTTCTTAACCCTTATTCTCTCCTCTTTCCTGGTTTATCTGGTGGAGAAGGATGTGCTTGAAAAAGATGAGGACGGGAAAGAGACAAAAGAGTTTGGAACCTATGCTGATGCCCTTTGGTGGGGACTGGTTAGTATCAACAGTGATTGTGCTGATTTGAGAGTTTGTTTCAGATCTTTCATCTGAATATTGCAGAATCTTTCTAGTTCATGGGATTTGTATTTATAATTTTATTGATGGATATTGTTTGCATGGGCTGTGTTCATACCACATCGCTGAACCAGGTCAGTTACTCCTAGCTGTACAGTCTGGTATGCCTGGCTAGTGTTAATGTTGATGAGTGTGATTCTATGTGTGGGGCAAAACCCAGTCCACTTGGTTGGCTTATGGTTTGACCTATGGTGGATACCCAGAAAATAGGTGAATTCTTCAACCAAGTATGTCCTGTAGACTCAACCACTGGGTGACATTGGTTGTAGGGAGGGAGGGAGGGAGGGAGGGGAAAACATTTTGCAGTCTTGGATGAAAGCAAAATTTGCAGAGTGAATTTCCTGCACCATATTCCAACAAATTGAAAATCTTATGGGCAAGCCTGGATAATAAATGTCCAGTGCTCTCGAGGGCATAGTTCCTCAGACTTACCAGTACGGTGAGATGCAGCGTCTGGGAGTGGAATGGGGCATCTGAAAATGCCAAGGAATCATTCTTCTTGCCCATTTGCTTTGTCTTTCTTACAGACTGTCCCAAACATTCTCCCCACAGATTACACTAGCAACAATCGGCTACGGTGACAAGACGCCTAAAACATGGGAAGGGCGTTTGATTGCAGCAGCATTTTCCCTCATTGGAGTTTCATTTTTTGCCCTTCCAGCTGTAAGTTTCATCAGTGACCTCATGAGAGATAATGTGATAGAGCTGGTGCCAACTTGAAATCTTTCTTGCAATTTCTCAATTTTTTTTCCTCTGCAAAAAAAAAGGCACCAGTTTTTCTAATAGTGCTTGAGAATTTCTTTTTAATTTCTCCTCTAATCTTAGAGGTGATGAAGGGGGCTACTGCTGGTGTTGCTGACCTCTGTGATATGTCTTTCCATCTCTCTGGAGCCCCCCTGCCTGCCCAAAATTTTCAATCTAACAAAGCCCCAAGAGATGGGGTTTTTCCTAGCATCATCCCTTGGGATTTAATGGGAAGTCAGAGAAGCTGCAGACTGCTGGTAGGGTTCTGCATCCTATGGCTACATTGAAGTTAAATAAGTTCAAGAACACCCTCTCCATTAATGAGAATGCCAATGAAATTTACTTGTCTTTCGGGAAAAAAAATAAATAAAAGGAAATCATTCCCATCACACTGAAGAATGTGTAGGAAATAAAACTCAACAAAAACATGCCTAACACTAGATGCCGTGGTTGGAATAGGAGGCCACATATCTCCCATTCAGCCTGAAAAGTTTTCCATATATTTTAATTAAAATCTCCCAAATCCTACAGTCGAGGTGCCTGAGGTATGACCTTGTAGGGTTATCTGGAGCGAGCTGAAGTCTGTGACTCCTGAGGAAGTAGACAGGGTCCTCCATTCTGTGAGCTCTGCCACCTGTTTGTTAGATTCAGGATGGTTAAAGCTGCCTGGGAGGTGACCTACTTCGCTGAGGGAAGGGATGGTCCCCTCAGCCTTGAAGGACTTATGGTGCTCCCATTCCTTAGAAGACTATTGCTGGACCCGACCATCCTGGACAATTTTCATTCATTCTCCAACCTCCCGTTTTTAGGGAAGGTGGTGGAGAGGATAGCCACGCTTCAACTCCAGAGGACCCTAGAGGAAAAATTATCTAAATCCATTTCTTTCTTGTTTGAGGCCAGGATTCAGTACAGAGACAGCACTGGTCATGCTTGTTGATGACCTGTGGCAGAGCAAGATGGGGGTGGTACATCCATCTTTGGACTCCTTGATCTCTCAGTGGCTTTCGGTACTGTCAACCATGGCATTCTTTTGGATCAGATCTGGGGGGTTGTGAGTGGGAGGCACTGTTTTGGGGTGGCCAGTTTGAATTGGTATTGACAAGAGGGGAGAAGTCATACCATGGCCCCTCACTTGCAGAGGGGAAAAGGAGTAGGCAAGACTTCACTCTATGAAGGGGGGAAGATCACTGTTATGAGGCCAGGAACAGCTATGGGTAGACTAGTCAAGCCATTGTGAGAAGTGTTCTACAGGAATCCCCAGTTTAAGAATGAGTTCCATTCCCAAGTTCTGTCCTTAAGTCGAATTTGTATGTAAGCCGGAACAGTATTATTATATTATACTGTATAAGTAGTAGTGTGCAATTTACTCGAACTATTGTGTATTTAACTTGAATTTTGCTACGGTAGGCTCTGTTCTTAACTATGGGTCATCCATAAACCAGGCATTCTTAACCTGGGGACTACCTGTAGAGTCCTGGTGCACACTTCTGGGACATAATGGAAGGCTGGTCAAAGTAAGCTATCCATTATTTATCTATGTGGGAACTTCTAGAGAAGGACAAACACTTCAGAGCATTTAAAGTAACTGCAAAGTGAAGGAGGTAGGGGTGCAAATAATGTTCTCATCCCTTCTTCCTGTTGATGGTTAAGAGACAGGAAGAAAAGGTGGGATCATGGAAGTGAACAACTGGGTAAGAAGATGTTGTCAACCAAAAAAGATTTGGATTCCTAGTCCATGAACTATATTCCTGTTGCTAGAATAGGAAACTGTTATGGAGGAATGGATTGGATTCCATGAGGACAGAGAAAAATGTGTTTGGCAAAAGCCTCGTGAGCCTTACTAAGAGGGCTTCAAGTGAAGCCAGAAGCAGGAGAGAGACACACAGAATGAGGGAGAGAGAGACTCAGGTAAAAAACTGCTGGACATTAGGAACATGGATGCTCATGATGATGGAGGAGGAACAGGAAAGTGTATTCAAAAGTTCTCAACACATAGTAGTAATGAAGACCAGTAAACAATGACTTCCCCAGTCTGCAGTGTCTATATATCCTTACACAGGATATGGGTAATAAACAGGAGGAACTAGAAATCCTAACACAGGAAAGTAAATGTGACCTGATAGGTATCACCCAAACCTGGTGAGATGGAAGCCATGATTGGAACACTGAACTTAAGGCATACTTGTTCTTTGGGAAATAGTCCCAAGAAAAGAGAAGGCAGGACAGAGTGAGGAAATTCACATCCCTGAATGTGAAAGCATCCACAACAGCAGATGGTGACAAGGCTGTCTCACATGGCCTATATTCTCCCCACATGCTCTGTTAACTGCAGTTTTTACGGGCATTCCTAGCATCATATATCACTTTCTCCAAGTTTCGTTGTACCGTATTTGGCTCCTGCTGTCCTGAAAAATTAGGAGAAGCCTGATTCCTACTCCGTGTTACTTGGGTACCCAGAGGAAGAGCTTTTCATCCCAACATTTTTGATGAAATAACATTTCAAGCGTTGATTTGTTCATCTTGCCTTACAGGGCATTTTGGGTTCAGGATTGGCCCTAAAAGTCCAGGAACAACATCGTCAGAAGCACTTTGAAAAAAGAAGGAAACCAGCAGCAGAACTCATACAGGTTTGCACGTCCTGCTTTTCCATAACATGTGGTTGGAAGCATGCACAATGCCCATATTTTTGAAAGCCACAGGAGCGGACTAATCTTAGATCTCTTGGCTGGGAAATCACAGGAGGAGCTGTAGGCATTTCAGATCCTTCTTTTAATGGGTTGCTACACCCTGCAAGAATGCCCTCCTCTCCCACCCCCAATCATTGTAGAGTTTTTTTTTCCCAAGATCGAGGAAAGATGAAACAAGGGGAGAAACTGCATTCTTCCTCTGGATTTGTTTTTGGGTGGAGGTATAAGGAACTGCACTTGGGAGCAGAGGCAAAATGTATTCTGGCTTCTTTTGGTGGCCACCGTGATTCTGTCTGCTAGAATTGTGTAGTGCTAAGTCACATTCTGAGAGGGTCCTATCTTTTGCTAGTACTTGAGCTCCAAGTTCAGGAGAAGAGGCTTTTGACTCAGCAGATAACATAATATCTTATGCATGGTGTGCCAGACAAAGTCATATATCTGCCCTACTTTTCACCAAAGTACTCTGAAGCCGCACTTTGCTCTGCTGGTTGGGAAAAGGGTGATTGCAACAACTTTCAAATGCAGGATGGAGGATCAGTAACAAAACCATGTTTTGCCTCTTGACTTGCTCAATACTTAGATAGAAATCTGTAAAATTTCCCCCGTGCCATTTGCTTATTAGGTGTACACATACATACACAGGCAAGGACCCACATTTCTCTGAACAGGTCACTTCTCTTGTGTTCCGTAGGCTGCATGGAGGTACTACGCTACTAATCCTAATAGGATGGATCTTGTTGCCACATGGAGGTTTTATGAGTCTGTTGTATCATTCCCATATTTCAGGTAAGTTCTGTGCATTGGGACATATTTGGTTTAATGACTCAACTTTAATTCTTAGCTTATTTGAAGGATTGTCTAAGTCAAACTGGAGAGGAGGGCATGTGGAAGGACTAGCTTTGTAATGGAGAAGTGGGGGAAGAGTATTGTTATCCTGTAAAGACCCCTTTTCCAATTCCTCCTTGCTACCTGAGGATTATGGGAGTTCAGGTCTAGCATGTCTAAAGGACCTCAGTTGGGAAGATATTTTATATTCTAACAGTGAATGGGTTCTTTGTATGAGGATCCTTATGTAGCCGAAACACCATGGCAGCAGGATTGTGGACTTATGTGGTTGAAGAACTATAAAAAACAGCTTCGGCATGAAACCTTCCAAGCAGGAATCTCAAAATAAATCAGTGAGCTATTAGCAGTTTGGCCATGGAGTGCTGATCAATTGGCACGTATGGAGGAGCCTTAGAGAACTCTAGGTGTGGGTTTGTGTGTAAGGGGGAAGAGGAAACAGATTAAATGCCCTCAGAAAATGCATCTTGGCTGGCTGGAGCCTCAAAGAATAGACCTCCACAGAGCAGTGTTTGTTGCGGGACTCTCCTGTGGATGCTTTTAAAAAGAAGTTGCACAGTTTTGGTGAGCAACCCAAATCTGGAACCTAACAAGAGGTGGACAGTTTTCAGAAGTGAGATATGAACTAATGATCTCAGGGATCTGTTATTAGAGTATTACAAAAGGTCACCCTGCGGCTCAGGAGGTGAATGGCAATTGAGGGGAGTAGTTGAAAAGGCATCTTTGTGATAAGGGAAGAGGGTTCAGATCCTCAGCTTAACACAGACAAGTTTGTACTGTAAAATTACATCCAGTGGCAGTCTTGATCCTCAGCAAGGCACGCAGATCACCTAACCAACCCACATACCTATATTGACTACCAGGGGATAGTATGTGACCAGTTTTGTCCTATTTGGGACTCTTCAGATATATGTAGGCATGTAGAACCCACATGTGCGTGTTTGCAAGACAATACCTGTGCTTTAGATCCCTAATAGTTTACTCTCATCTCACAAGACTAGAGTAGGAGTGAAATGGAGCTGTGTTTCTTTACTTCACATATTTCTCTTTGATTCTTCCTTTGGCCATGGTCCCATTTCCAGGATCACTGGGAAAGGGGGCTTCTCCACACAAGTAGGAACCTCAAGCAATCAGTGTTCTCCTCAAGTAGAGGACAACGGTAAAAGTATAGCAGTAGAACTTGTGTACAGAGAAGATACCAGATGTGATGAGTTTCCCAACACTGGACAAACTCTAAGATTCTTCCCATGCCTATGTTTTTATGATTTCATAGAGTTACAAAGATAAAATGACCCCACAGTGACCATGCACACAGCCATAAGCTGCTTGAAGGAGGGTGAGGTATCACCATGATATATAAGGACAGGGGTCCCCAGAATAGAGCAGGAGAAGATGTATGAGTAGGATCCTTATTAGCTGCGTTTGCACAATAGGCTTAATAAAACCAATGAAAGATCTAAGAGTGGCATTTGTGCAACATGCAAAGCTTGGTTAGTTTTAACCTGTTTTTTCTTTATTGTATCTCAGCCTATTGTGTGAACCGAAACTGTTTGATTAATTCACAGTGGAATGTATCATTCAAACCCAGCAAACGTTTTAATCCAATAACCAGGTTAATTATGATATGCAAATGTAACCACTAAGCGTCAAAACCAATAGTGCTAATTTTCCTTGAAGTTTAGCATCCTACCAAGCTTAAGATCTCATCTTTTCTCATTGCTTTTCTCCCACTGTTTTCTCTATTTTCAATCTCCCCAAAGGAAAGAACAAGTGGATGGAACCAGGTATGTATTTCATATCCTCAGTGTGGTCACTATTCCTTCTAATACAGCAGCCTTTTCTAAGGTGGCTTTCTTCAGATGAGTTATGAAGGTTGGGGGAAGCAACGTTTGAGACTTGAAACAGACTTCACAATCTGTCTTCTCTCCTCCCTCCCTGCCAATTTATTTGGTGCATTGTCTCGTTGCTCAACTTTCTTTATAAGCACTGGACACATTTCTAAGAGTATCACAGTGATTATTTTAAACACAAAGACCCTGTCTAGGGCAAAACAGGCTTAATTTCTTCCATGTTCAGGGTTTAATGAATTACCTCTTATACCAAAAGTAAGTAACAAGTAGCATGAGGTCTATTTATTTGTTATTTCTTAAAGAATTTATCATAAAAAATCATTAAACAGCATGCATTTGTAAAAATTGAATATTAATTCACTTTTCGTCCCACTTTTTTGAGTTATTCTAGTAAAATTCTAGTCAAAAGTAACTATTAGGGCATACTGCTTGAGATTCCAGGGATGGGCCACTAGTGAAATAGAAGTTCATGGCAGTGAGATTTTAAACTATTTTTTATTTATCCCCCCTCCCCCCGCAAATTTAAGAGAAATTATGGCACTTCTGAATAAATAAATACTGTTTCACTAGTGGCCCATCCCTGCAATCTCCTCCCCTCTGCCCATTTATATGCGGCTAGTTTTTTGGTGCCTAATCTTTCAGCAGAAAGATAAGATATATATTGTAAGATCAAATGATGCCCTGCAAGCTAAATTCAATCCACCTATTATGTGTGAATACTAACGTTGTGACATACATCTGGACAAAATGATGGTGGTGTGGAATACAACTGAACTCACAATCTCAAAGCACTACTCTATCTTCCAATTAGTTTTTCCTATGGCTAAGGGCAATTAATTATTAAATCCACAGAAGAAAAGAAACTGGTTAAACATATTCCAAGTCTAAGGGGACCTCCTAACATGTTTGAGAGTATCAGCAATCTTTGAAGGTTGGGGCTGCGAAGTCTGCATACTCCAGGACACCTCCTGGACCTCTGCAAAGCTAAACTAAACTAATATTAAAATTGTCCTGTGAGCTTGTGAATTCAGTAGAATTCACAAGTGAATACATTTAGAGCTTACACGACAATTCTGAAACCTTTTCTGATTGTGGCTGACTTTTTGGAATTCTTTAAAGTGTTAGTGAACCATGTTAGCTAGTTTCTGCAGCATCTGAAATAAAGTATGGTATACCAACCATACATTACCAACCATACATTATCTTAGAGAGTTACTAAAAGACAGTAGGTAATATTACTGGGCTATTGAAGCCTGTGGTCTGATTTAGAATGAGCTCATAACTTTCTCCAACTGGATTCTTTCTGAGAATCCTTACATAAAGGATGGATAATTCTGGATTGAATCCCAAGATAATTTAATAATGGTATTTAGAGTGTCCTGCTCTGACATACAGCCTACGGGCAGCAATGGGCTTATTTTATCTGGATGAATTACTTTTGGCCAAGCTGGCTTGGAGTTCTGGGAATTGTCTTCCCAGCATGTCCGGAAGATCCATATTGCAGAAGAGGTCATAGAGAACACATGGCTTGAGGGAATCATTGTAAGGCATGTAGTTATGGGAAAAGATTAAGTTGAATCAGAACTTCTAGTTTGGGACAGTTACTGACTCTGGGCCATTTTTATACCTGCATTACTATCATAGTTCTCATGGTGCTTTGTGGTTCCAGTTGGTGATCATACTCTCTTGGGACATCTTACCTTAAAGTTTGATAGATTCACCTGATATATTTAGTGGGATGTATTTATTATTCGATGGGTGATCTGTCCTCTCCCATTGCCTTTTCCTTCCAGCCATCTTTATCCAATTCATCCTCCCTCTATCTAAACTACAGGCATTTATACAATGGCCTACTGATTTTTCCTTCTGACCCATCCTCCTCCCTCATTGTTATAAAAATGTAGCAATATCATAGTATTTTAGTACATTGGAATACCGTTGTTTAAACACCATGTCTAACATAGCACATTTAGAGAACAGTGTCCTAACCAACAATGACCTGTGACTTTCTGTAACACTTAGGGAGACTTTCAGTCTTCATATTGACCTTCAGTCTTTGTATTTGCACTTGGCATGTTATATGTAAATGGGGTAACTTGGGCATCTATCACTAGTGAAGTGTGAGTTTGGTTGTGACAGGGATACTCACTAAATGGATCTGCACATAAGAACTTGAAAGATAGATTTCTATTAAGTGATTGATGAACAGTTTGGAATCCTCATCTCTTCTGCCTATTGCCTACTGACTTTGACCCACACTCTTGTCCCTACTGCGACTTTCTTCATCCCACTGATCTTTGTAGCTTTTCTGTCTGTTTTCCCTTAAACTCTGCCTCCACTTTTCCCCTTGTCTCCCCAGCCTGCTTTTTGTTCCTTATCCCCCACTCCATTTTGTGAATCTAATCCCTATTATATCCTGAAATAAGTTGCTACAAGAGTCACTTATTTTTTAACATAAGGTGAAGTCTCCCCCAAGTCCAGCTCAACTCTGAGGACCTCATGGACATGTCTGTGTTGCTTTCTTGACAACAGTATCAGTGTGGTTTGCCTCTGCCTTTTTCTACGATATTTGTTTTTCAATTCCTGACCTACCCTACAGCCCTAGGATACTAACCAAGTCTGACCTGCTAAACTCCCTCAAGCTTGTCCAGAGTTAGCTAACTGCTGCCATCTGTTGTGACTTTTGATTATAATTGTTATTATAGATATTAGACCAAAGAAGTTTCTGAGGATTTCTCTTCAGATGAAAACCAGTGATGCCCAAAGGACAATCAATTACCTTTCTTTCTTCGTACTTCTACAACCCAATAAAACCATTCAGGTGGAATTGTGCACAACTTTTTGAGTTGTACTTCTTTGCAGCATGACTATTTAGGAGTAGTTCTAGGCGCCCAGAGCATTGTATAAACATGTCTGTAACCCATTTCAAAGAAAGGTGCGGTTCATATTTGGGGATCTCAGCAGGGTTGAAAAAGAATGTCCCCCTTGCTAATGGAGTAAAAATTGGAGCAAGTATGTTCTGTTTGTGTTCCCGGGCTGCAAAGGAAATGGGAGCCTTCAGCCCCTATATTATGGTTCACTTACTATGCTTCTTCCCTCTCTCACCTTCCCAAAATAAGAATAAACAATTTAACAATTTGAGGGAAGAGACTGGCTTTGCTTGGCCTTTTAATTTAATGGCTTGATGTTTCCATTTATTACACCCAAACATTCTTTGGTTACAACTTTCAAAACTCAGTGAGCACAGGAATGCTGGATCTCCATGTGAAGAGTAAATTGGGACTAGCTTCTGCACGTGTAATCTACAAGTTTATTCAAGTCTAATTGTGCTAACACTTTGGAGTCAAGAACATGGCACCCATCCCTGATAGTCATATTTGAAATACATTGTAGAGAAATGCCTATGGAAGATTGTGTAATGTTTGTTTCAAGGAATGGTATTTTGACAGAAATCAGAGGTCCCCAGTCTGAGGCTCCAAAACTCCTTTACTCATTAATAAATCCTGCTAAAGAAAACTCTATGGGAATCTTGCCTTTTGTTGAGTTGGCTGCCAAGAGCCTGACATAGGCTGCCATCTTTGCTAACAAACGCTGTTTATCTTAATGTGATTTCCTCTTGTAAAAGTAGGATGGGGCAAATCTTCAGTTCAGCCTTCATACCTTCTGTAGGATGTCGTTAAGTGGCAAACCACCATTATCTCTCCCTGGGCTTAATGAAATACTGAAGTTAACACTGAAATAACTGGATTTGTTAATGCAGAGAATTGTGAAAATTCATTAGATATCTTGTGTATTTAAGGTTTGGTACACTTGGTACTGAAAACAGCATAAGAAATGGTAAAGCATTCTGCTATTTGAAGCATTTATTCAGATTATATGTTAATATATTACTGTTCTGTGTTTTGATTGAGCATCACTCAGGAAAAGCTGTTTTCCGTCCTTTGGCTTTCTGACATGCCAGAATAATTACACTGTGGATTTTTTTTTCTCTATTATATTTTCCATTTGAAGAGATTATTTTGCATATTCACTTTCCAGTTACCACATTGCTCATATTGCTCATGGTCACTCCCACATTAGTCACCTCCTGATTGGATTATTGCAACATACTGTACATGCAGTTGCCCTTGAAACCCACCTGAAAATTACAATTGGTCCAAAATGTAGTGGTACAGATGGTTGGCATTCCTCTCTACATCACATGACACCTCTACTCTTTGAGCTGCAGGGGCTTCCAGTAGACCTCCAGGTGCAATTCAGGGAGCTGGTTATCGCATATAAAGCCCTTACATGGTATAAGACTGGGTTATTTGTGGGACTGCCTGCTGCCAAGGAGATCTTCCCATCCCAGACACTGCATCAAGGAGAGCACATTCCAGGTCTCCTCACTGAAGCAATGTCATCTTGGGGACCCGGGAGGCATGGCTTCTCTGTGGCATTCCCTTCCTTTTGGAAAGATCTTCCCGTCGACATATCATTGGCTCAATCCTGCAGATCTTTAGAAGGGCAATGAAGACATGGCTCTTCTTTTGAGCACCTGGATCAGGATAAGTAGAGTTCCCATTTGGTGGGATATCACAAATGTTAGCCTCTGATCACCCTGTACTTGTTTTACTGGTCTTAGGTCCATGTCCTTATTTTTCTCTTGTATGTTTGATTTGTGGTGGTAGAAGGTGCCCCTCCCCCCCATATGCATGTAAGCTACATACCTATGAGATGGCCTCCATACATGCCCCTGTAATAAACATTCACAGCAAGCTGAATTTGGCAACGGAGGGAGAAATCAGACAGGGACCAGTGGCCTATTAAACCGAATTGTTTATATTCATTGACTGTATCTCAGAGATAGTATAGCTAGCCTGCCGACCTGATGGGAAGGGATCAAGAAGGATAAGGTTGCACAGATGGATTTATCAAAAACATTCCAATGTCCCACTGGACTGTACATTGTGTCTGCCTTTTTCTTTCTCTTGAAATGTAGTAGGCCAAAGGTATATAAGCTGTAGTTCTGCTTTTGCTCAGGGCTGTACACATGCTTCAGTGTACAGTGTTTTATCATTTGCATGCTAATAAAATTATGTTGCATCTTCAAAGTGAGTTGGTTGCTTTAGGTGAGCCAGGTTTGGGCCACAATAGAGTTTTGTCTGCCACCCAGACTCACACTGTTTCAGCTAGGCAACCATATAAATGCTATTAATAAATAAATACATAAATAAGTAAATAAAGTAAGTTGCCTAACCAGATCTGAACGTAAACCCATGTTTGATTCCATTTTCAGAATGCTTTTGACTTGAATGACTATAAAAATCTAATTCTCTGAATGTATGAGAGTATTGCAATCCATGGAGCACGTGTGCTTTCGGGCTAGACAGCCCCCATTTGTCATTTAATGGGCATTCAGTTTTAATGGAAAGCAGCTCCCCCGCCATTAGTCAGTTTAATTGAGGGTTTATTGTAGTAACAGAATATTGGTCAGTGGTCAGGTTGGCTATAGTGAAGAACAGGGGAAGGGAGCTGAGAAGGAGAGAGACCTTAAGCTGCCCAGAGTCTGTTGGAGGGGGTAGCTATAATAAATTTAATGAAAACAGCACCGCCATCATCCTCATCATCATTGGACAGGCATGGCTTAATCCATTTATAGGGAATTTCTGCTCTGAATCCCAAGCATTGCCAATTCAGATATGTGCACCTGAGAAGAATGAGGGTGGGGTGGGGGGACAAAGATGGCCTAGATTTATAAAAGAGAGCTAGGAAGGGATGAAAAAAAGGGAAAGGGTCTGGCCATCTGGCTGAGTTGGTTAATATCTTTGCATGAAGAAAGAATTGCTGAAGAGGTTCATAGCTCTGAGATGGGTCTCAGTCTTCTTAACTTAATTAACAAGCAGATTCCAAGTAATGCCCAAGGTATCATGGCTCTGACAACATACTTTATTCAGAAGTGCTTCTGGTAACCTGCCACTGTTTTACCAGGATACAGCAATGGGTGATGCAAATGGGAAGAGGCTGAGTGGATATTTGTGCAAAGAACTATCAACCCAGCATGTGCATTCAGGAAGTCCAAATATGAGACTATAATTAATGACCAAGTACAATTTATTAAAGGATATTTGGGCTAACAGCAACCCAAAGCAATCAAATCATTACTTGGTATTCCATAATTACCATTCAGATTTTAGTAGCTAATCCAAAGGTTTTCAGATAGACACATCTGTAGAACGCAATGGCCTATTGTGACTTTAGAAGAAATAGGAAAACATGGGGATAAAGGAAGGTTAAGAGACAGAAAGGGGAAGGATTTTGCAGAGACTGAGTTCATGAGGATAGAAAAAGAGAGGGGAGGGTTGCTCTGATGAGGAAGCATCTTCCACTGTTTGGATCAGCTATTTTTATCCTTTCCTTGGGGAATTTAGCAAATTAGAACAACCAAGTTCTCACTTCAGGATTTGAGAAATCATCAAGAAGATGTCAGAAGAAGGTGGGCTGGGGGGGAAGGGATTTGCATATACTGTCTCCTTGGTCTGAAGAGAGAGGGAAGAAACAGGAGATATTTTAGCATAGTGATCAGTGAGAGACAGGCTCTCTAAATTATAATGCAGACCAAAATGCCTTACTTAAGTCATCAGATTTGGCAACATTACCAAGGCCTGTTGAACCTGGATGCTGGAATTACAGATTATCCCAGTGTCTCAGAAGTAGCCTATTCCTTTTACATCCAACATCAAATTCTTATTTTGAAAAAGATAAAGCCTAAACTGAAATCTGACAAGAATGAAGAGAAGCATAAGTTGAATGGCGACTTCTTGGAGGAGATACATAGTAGTGCTCAGTGGCTTGACGGGTTAATGGCTTTCTTGCTGGCAGGATCAAGGGTGCCAAAAGGCTTATATTTGCTTATTTTCTTGAGGAATAGAGGCAGGTACCATTCTATTATATCAGCTATTGCTTGACTAGGACCTTGTAATTCACAATACTAATGGAAAGAGATTGGGGGTGAGGGAGCATACATGCACAACATAGCTGTTTGGGAGAGTCAGCATCTGGTCATCTTAATGTCATTTTATTCCCTACTGAGCAGAGAGCTGTGGAAGGATATCTCTGAGGATGTATTGCTCCACTGGCAGACTAGGATCCCAGGCAAGGATGACAAGCCACCCAGACTTGCCTCCCCCTTTCTTTTAGCAAGAATGAGTGCTGTGAACAGTATTTGGGCCCTTTTACCTTAACCAGAGAATTCACGCTGCTCAAACAGCAGGCCAAGTTAGTGAATACAATTGGAGGAGGGGGAACAAATCAAGTAACATTTGGCACAACCTTGTATGTAGCTGCTTGAGAAGGTCAGCCTTGGGTCACTTTAATATCATTTTATTCCCTACCGAAATTTGCTGAAGATAGGGGTCATGCAAGGAGTCTTGGAGAACATCACACTTCTCTGCTGGACTGGAGTGCCTTTGCAAGCAGACCAGACATGCCTGTTTCTTGTCTTCTGGTGGATAAGGATGTTGTAGGATCAAGCAATTTGCTGCAAAACTGCACTTTTGGCTCTTTATCTCGATCAGAGAATAGGGGCTGTGCAAAAATTAGGCCAAAGTAGGGAATATAATTTGGAAGGTAGAAAGAAATTGCATAACACCACTTACCTGTCCAGTGGCCATTTGAAATTACTCTGTAGCACGTGCTGTTTGTATTTCTTGCAGAAGTTTTTAGTATTCTGCTAGAAGTACTGTAATGGCTCACTGCTGTGAAGGGAGGTTGAGCCACTGAATTTAATCTCTGACATTGGAGGACCAGAATCTCATTGTGCATTCAGGCCACTGGTGGGGAAATGTTGTTGATTCCTGTAACCTAATTGTTTCCTGACATTGTCACTGAATGTAGACACCATAAACCATGTTTAAAGCACTAAACCTTTGTGGATATACATTCTACTGATCAATGTACTGTATATGATTATGTCCAGTCAATTGTGAAAACCTCTAGGGGGTGGTGTTGGTTACTTTATTGAGCAGCTGGCAAAGATCTAAGTTATGCATTGGCTTCACCAATGTTGTCAGCTACCATGGAATCCTTAGCGGTGTTCTTCTTATATCTCTGCTTAGAATGAAATGCACCACGTACACCAGGCATGGGCAACCATTTTTTGTGGGCTGGATATCAGAATGTGCTCCCCCAGTCAGCTGGCCAGACACAGGCTAATTTGGGCAGATGTGATGATGTCACGGGAAGGGCGGAACCAATATTCTGGCCAGTGTTTTGTCTTTTTGTTATTGGGCAAAAATGGAAATGAGAGTAGGAGGTGTCTGGCATGCAAAGGACATCTATTTCCATCCTTAAGCTGAGCATCCCCGGAATAGCAAAAATTATGCTGCTGAAATGTTGTAGGAAGTGGCAGAATTGGGGTGGTGTGATACTGGGGTGGGAATTTTTGGGGACGGTCATAAAAGATATGGGAGGGATGGGCCTCCCAGAGGCCTTCTCATTAAAACCCCTCCCTTCTAAAGAAAAAAAGAGAAATGCCCCCCCACCCCCAGACCAGCCATTTTTGCCATCAGATTTCAGTGGCCCAATTTAAGGGAGCAAAGGAGAAGCTTGTAGATCACTGGGTGTGGTTGCCCACACCTGAGGTACACCTTGAAATGCAAACCTGATTTAAAATGAGGGAGAAAAAAATTATCCTTTTCCTTATCTTTTTAGCCAAAAGCTGGGTCTCTTGGATCGGGTTCGTGGTAGCAATACTAAAGGAAAGCTGTTTACTCCTCTGAATGTAGATGCGATTGAAGAAAGTCCATCTAAAGAATCTAAGAATGTTGTCTTGATTAATAGAGAGCGTTTACGCACTGCATTCAGGATGAAAGCTTATGCATTCTGGCAAAGCTCAGAAGGTAAATGTGTGTGTGTGCGCGCACGCGTCTGTGAACTTTCTTAGACTGTTTCACAAAGCATCTGCTTTGTTTTTGTTTTTGTTTTGTTTTTTTTTTGCTGGCTTTCCTTCTGAGTTGAGTTGAAATGGACCATTGCACTGTTTTTCTCATACAAGAAAAATATTTGATTCCTAGTTTTTAATACTAGGACTTTCAGACTCAAACTTTTACATCTGAGGAATGTTTTTCAGCAAAACATAGCCCCACTCATTGGTGGCTTTAGTTCATTCTTGGCTTTTGACATTCAATCCACTCATTAGTAACACAATCATTCTATTGAATATTGACGCCTTGGAATGAAATTGAGGAGTCACGTTCAGGATTCAGTTCTTATTTTCACGTTCAAATACTGGCATGACCTTTATATCCAATTTAGAGGACTCTGGATGGAAAAAAATGTATAAAAAATATGGGGCACATGGTCCATTACCTTCTTAAATATTGAAGTGCTGCTGTGAAAATGTCATGCGCGTGAATGAGGAATCAGGCCGTTATTAGAAAGCCATTTTCAAAGTAAATGGCAACATTCTGTATTGCTCCAGAAAGCAGGACCAAACCTAATGGTCTTAAGTAAAAAGGGTATTTATTTTGATTGAACATGGAAATAAACTTCTTGATAGGAAGGCCAGTTTGACAACAAAGGCTTGTTTTGTAGGAATGTGGCTGGTTCCCCCATCCTGAATGTTTTCAAGTAGAGCTTGGAAATGTCATCTGTTGAGGATAGTTGGGTTCTCAATTTTCGTCACTGAATGACTGGTTAGATTAAATCATGTAAGAAGCTTAGAGTCTCTCTCTCCTCCTGCCCATGTTGCTGACTTCAACTAGCATGATTAATGGCAATGGATCCTGGGCTTTGTAGTTCAGCAATATCTGGAGGGCTATTTGTTCTCCACCCCTTAATTAGATGGATCACAGTGTTTCCAATTTTAGGACTCTAAACCATCTCACCGTTTCAATAAGATACAAAATAAAATGCATTTCAATATCTAGTCTTAAGACCGATACTCAATAATGCTACTTTATATGCACATAAGGAATGGGTGGGCTTGACTGTGCTTTTGAATATTGTTTCCAAAGGAGCAAAAAAGAAAAAGAAAAATCATTGGAAGTTCTCATTGGTGAGGTGAAGAATTCTTGCGCTTACTTTACTACAAGGTGGTCAAAGAGGGTGTGAGTGTGTTGGTCTCTCCTTGTAGTCTGCAGTCCCATTAGCCTTGAACAGGAAGACTTGTTGAGAATGAGACACTGAGCCTCATGAATACAAAGCACTTCTGTACAAATGTAGAAAGTGTACAAAGCACTTATCTTTGAATCTTTACATTGTCAGCCTCATCTTCCAGGTTCGTGGAGCTCAATTGTAAGCTGTTTCTGGCTGTGCAGCATGGAGGCTGCTTTAAAGATCCAAAGAGAGGACTTTTGTACGCCTATTGCAAAGCATCTCTGTTAAAGGATGTATACAGAAGTACTGGGAAAACATACAGTACCAAGAGCAGTACCTCCTGCTTTCTTCAACAATAAAAGTAGTTCTAAAACACCAGCAAGAAAAAATTTCAAGCACCCTAGGGATAAGGTGGAAAAACTCAGGAAGTCATCATCACTCAGATAAGCAAAGGTTACCACCAGGCCCACAATCAAGCAGCAAACATATGCTAACCAAAGAACTACCAGAGGAGC